TGAAAAATTTTAAAAAAATGGGATGAAAAAAACTTTTTTAAAGGGGTGAAAAAAAAATTTATCAAAAAAAAATTAAAAAAAAAGCCGGTCGCTGAATGTTATTCCACATTTACGTGTACTGTTTTCAATTAAAACTTCAAAATGTTTCCTCTGATAAAGGTTGTGTGAGTGGGTGAAATACATAGAAGATCCTGTCATTTTTCTTTTGAAATTATATATGTCATTATTCAAGCCAGTCAGTCACACACAACTCAGGACATGACACAAATATCCGCTGGTTCAAGTTGCAACATCTAACAAGAAAGTGAAGTGCAATTCGTAAGATAAATCATGGCATAGTACCATGTCAGTGGAAAAAACAATACAATTAGAGATAGAATTAATTCGTGGAAAGTACAAGATGATTATACAACTCAATATATAAAGGGAGATAAAGAAGAACACATGATAGGCTGGGGTGATACAGGTATATCATATGTTTATGTACACATGCTACTCCGAAGCCAGATGGCAAGTGAGAGGGGCTTAGGTTATCCGGATGTGAGTAAATTTCCAGTTTTGCGACATTTTTTTCGGTTCTACCATCTTTATAAGCCATTATATGTTCCGTGTCTTTCTTACTGTCTGCGAAGTGTCAAACAAGATATACGACTAATTGAAACCGCTCAAATATTGTATCAGTCTTGACTTAAATGTATGTGACGGACAAATTAATATGTATTACCAATCAGTTGAGCAAATAACTAATTCGGTTATCTTTAACAACTTCTTATTCAGTCAGTCTTTTTCATGTATTTCATTATCTGGTCGGCTTACCGCACAAAATAACAGTTCATCTGCGCTATTGTTCATGTATTACCAGGTTATCAGTAAAAACGATGAGTTTCTTAGTAGTGACTTTAACCGATAATAGGTGTGTCTTAAATACTATTCTGCTTTCTGAATTCTGAAAATTAACCAGTAATGAGATATATATTGTGAACTTTTCTAACATGAAGTAAGTAATTACTTCAATGTTGATGGTCCACTGGTTTATAGAAATAGCTATTCACTATGTTGTGAATATGTCATAGTATCGATTAGGAGTTACTTTACTTAGATTAAATCCATAGAAAAGCTGATTTATATTTTACCTTTGTAGAATGTTTTTAGTAAATGTAAAAGAAACTTGACGTTTTTGAGATGATAACTTCTTGGAAATTATTGATTATGAAATGGAACTAGAGGTATCATTTGTATGTCTTTACTTATTTCAATAATCATGATACAATAACTTAAATCTAGCTTAGACTATTAATCTAATTAATCAATGTGAATAAAGAAACGGAGAACCAAGATTGTACAATTATAAATGATTTTATTTAATTTAAATTTGGTGCATAGATTATACGTGAATGTTTACATCAAATTAAAATATGACATTATATGATGTCATTTACTCGATATAAACAACGCTTATAATTTAAATACAACTGTTCATCAATATGTAAATGTAAATAAAATCTCATTTATGATTATCTGATATATTTTAAATATTAACTAAATAGTTTAAATATCAGATGGGTTTTGTGGATATTATAGTAGTTTCAATGGTTAAGATCATGAATCAGTTGAAGCTAGACCACCATGGAAAACCTGGAAGCACTGGACGGCCGTTTCATCTCATTGTGGGACTCCTCATCAGTTTTATATCACTGATGCCTTTTGACAACTTTTTCTTGTGATATTTCGTCAGTGATTAAAAATAATCGGAGAGAAGTCTTGAACATAAGTTTCGAATTGTCAAGACATTATAAATACGTGAAACGACAGCTGTAGATTATTTAAGATAATGTTTATTTCGATGAAGTTTTGTTCTCTGTGCTGGATGGCTTGGTCGTGGAACTTTTATCGTTCTTCTATATGAAGTTTGTGCTGATGTTGTTCAGAAGAGCGACCAAACCGTCCAGCTCATAAAACAAAATTCCATCAAAATCATCTACCTGGGCTATAAATCTTCTCCACCATCTCAAAACCATATGAACGTAATACGCTTCTCGTTGTTCGAAAATGGAAGAATTTCACCAAAAGGCAGGGTTCCACTCGAGAACAACTGTATTTTCTTCACGAGTGTCTTCGCCGGCATGTTCTACCAACAAGTGTAAGATACAGACCTCCAGTCAACTGTTCATTGGGATGGAGAATAGCTGAGAAAAGTGGAAGAAAAACGATACCCCTAATGATAACAGATGCACATTACAGGATCTGCAAACAACAACACATCATAGAGAACCAACAGATGAAGCCATAAAGGACAAGCACGTCAGAATATTTGGGAATCTTGACAACAGCCATCGAGATATCATGCTAAGATAATGTTTATTATTACAGAAAATTAAAAGAAACCTAAGCGCTATAAAAAAGGCATGCGAGCTAAACTCATTAGGCTGTGGTAGTAATTAAATGAAGAGTAAAACTAGAAAAGGTGTGAGAATGATTCAGTTGCGAAAGCAGTTGAGGTTAGCCAAGAAATCTTTTTTGAATGCGAAGATTAGTTTCAAGGCTTCTAATTGTCACGGCTTCCACATATTTTAATAGAGTAGGCGTTGGTTGTTTACTCAGATCCTGCCCTATCGAACTCCCAAGGCCACTTTTCCCCCAGAGTCATAAGTTCTATGGAATATACTCAATAATACCTGTGAATGCTAACCTTTCTATCCTTTGTAAACACTAAAATGAATACATGTTTATGAATATTCTTCTCAATGGACTGTTCATTTTGCAATTCTGAAAATCAACTTATTCAAGTTGCTTAGGAAAATTTCATATACGAAAAATATGTAATTCGTTACTTCGGTCAGTACGTCATATAAATGACAATAAGTATCTAATATCAAGCCAATCTATCACGCTATCAATGGATTTATGGTATTGAGTAATAATAATGATAATAATAATAATAAATGGTTTTTCTGACTTTAACACAAAAAAAATATAAGGATTATTACTTAAATCGCAAACGTCACTATCAAAACTTGACCTAATACTTTCAAATAAATTTAATATTAAGTATATCGATTTTAATAATCAAAAAATTTCGCAATCATCTATCGTCATCCGTGACGATGAGATAGTTGTCCAGTGATCATTAGTTCCCTATAGTACTCCAAATAAGGTTAATTCGTGATGAATACCACCTACATATTTGTAATATGTAAATGAGTAGAAAAGTTGAAGTTCTAACATTTTACGATATGCTGTAGTTTAATTATCCAGGGAATGAATAACTCTCAAAAGTTAGTTCAAGTTTAAATACAACAAGGAACGAAGCAAATTCAGCAGTTATTACTCACAAAGAATTCTGATCATTCTACTGTCGTGTCATTCAGGTCAGAGTGGCTTCGGCATGAAATATGTTTTCATGTATTCGTACTTATATATGTGGTATGAATAAATGTAATTTTTTGTTTGATTAAGTGGTTTAATTTGTATACATGTTTTCAGTGTGAATTTCAACAGGTTAAATGTTACACACGACGAAAATATTTTTCAAGTTAACTAGATAGTTATTCCATTATTTCTTTTGATTCCAGTAAGATTTAACAATAAATTAAATTCTTCAGCTACTAGTTTTACTCTCGAATTATTTTAGTATTAGTTTATCAGTTTTACAGGTGACACTTACTTTTAATAATCATCCAGAGTGTAAACCTTCAAATTCATTTTCGTTTTCAGTTATTTGATTTTTAGTTCCGACATCTAGTCTATCTTGTACTTCTATTGGTTACTGAATCCTCTGAACTAAATGAACAACTCAAATATATGTTTAGTCATCCTCTCCTAATTTTCATACATGATTAATATCCTTCTACTAATAACTACTCTTGACATGTTAGAGAGTTGAGAGTGGTCTGGAGGAAATCGTGAACCTAGGTTTACTTCTATTTGACACCCGTTAGCCAGTTGTGAAGTCCATCTTAGGAGAATTCATGCTCTCCTTGGAATCGTGTGACCAATCTTTACAGTCTAAGACTCTACCACAAAGCTGTTCGGTTCGTCATAAACATACATATGTACATGCTATGTGAAGGATTATGATACTAACCGGTTACCCAAATAAAATCAAGTGGGCAGAGTTTGAATATTTTGAATTAATGAATAAACGTCGAATACTTTAATAACTAATTTACCATCAACATAGTTTGAACTTCAATATCAGTTTACATAATCGCCATTATTTTTCAAAGCATAATGTATTTAACAAACCACACTTCCAAATGACTAGTAGAATGTCTAATTTTATCCCCTAATAGTTACTTAATGAATATTATAGTCAGCTATGTCTTTAAATAAACTTTTAGTTGCTCAACAACTGTAGAAGCTAAGCAAGTTTTTACTGTTATATTTCATTGGAGAAATGAAATATTTCGGATATGAATCCTTAGGAATTTTCATGTTTACACCAAGATTTAAAGCTGTTATATTCACAGTTTTGTTCGAAATACAACTCTTCTAGGAATTAAATCGCTTATACAAGTCATGAAACCTAGTATCATATAGAAATTTGCAATGATCATTGAAATTCGTTGACCACAAAACAAAATAATAACTAGACTATATTATTGCTGTATTTGATGAAAGGTTCTCTGTCGACCATGACTGACTGACTTTTGATGTCCAGTGATAAACAATAAAAGTAGGAACAATAATGAAGAATATTTGTTCTTCAGGATGAGAATTTGAAAGGTGTGGTATGCTCTGAGTTTGATAGAAGCACTAAAATATTTTAATTTAGGTTTTTGAACGAACAGCAGTATCCATCTCCCTGCATAATGCTTAGTGTTGATCAGCTTTAAAGGAAAATAAACCTAAGATCAGAAATTTCTAAAAAATTGAAAACCGTTTAAAACTGTTTCTGGAGTTTTAGTTGGGATATGTGACATTGAGAGAAGATAGATAACTACCAACGATATCTAGTAATGACCACATATTACGATAAATGTAGACCGTAAAATTTCAACGCAGAAGCTTATGGTTTTGAGACATATATTCTAGATTCCAAGCTTTTGTAATCATTGGTGGTCGGTGCTTACAACCATCAAGATACTATAAAGCATCCACTCACGAGAATTCATCAATTGATATCCTATACTAATTGTAACAAGCCACGTCAATTCAACTGATTTCATCCTAGGTGAGTAAATACAGAAAGACCAAATCGTTTAAAATAATAGCAATGTTAATAGTTTATATACATTATAGGGTAATGGGCACTGTAGATAAGGTGTGTGTTACCGACAGGGAATTCACGTAGACTGGATTGTATTTTCATAACTGTGTACCAAGTGATTATGAACTTCAATGAAATATGTATCTGACAAAAATTTACAGTTCTTGTATGTACAGCTATGGTGTTTATGATGGCGATGTCCATGACAGTTGTGCTGAAAGTCTATGCAACTGAATGTTTCCTTAGTGTCATCGAGTAAGTGTTTTAGTTTATCATGAATCTGTGCTGCAGTAGGACGTTTGTGTGGATTATAAGACCACATTTGACACATCATCTCCCATAATTCATCGTTCACTAGTATAGGTTTATCTAATGTGGACGGTGGTAATAATCTCTGACAATTCGTTGTTTTTTTCAAAGTGTATCCTGAAACGTCCGAATTACCATCTGTACCATTATTCTTGTTGTTATTAAGATTGTGCTCTGATAACATACCTACTAATTCTTGAAATGTTTTAATCTCTTGAAATGGTTCACGTTTTTCCAAATGAAATAGTTCCCATATCAGTAAACCATATTGCCATATATCTGAACTAAAATAAAATTTATGTTGTAACAGTGCTTCAGGTGGTAGAATTCGAAGAGGTAACTTTTTTCTTGGCGTCAATACACGATAGTATTCATCGATCAATTGATCTTCATTAAATTCACCATCAATATTATAGATATCATCATTTGTTAACCCATTGATTGGTGTCATTTGTACAGCCAAGCCAAAATCACTAATCTTCGGTATATAATTATGGTTAATAAGAATATTTCTAGTGGCTAAATCTCTATGTATTACATAATTCTTCACCAGATAAACAATACCTGATATAATTCCGTAAGCGAAACGATATATCTCTTTTACAGTCAATTTATACTCTCCCAATGTTGTTCTATCATGAGTATTCATCTTGATGTCTTTCATATAGAAATTGGTCAATTGAACCTCCTCATAATTCATTAAACTATCTATAATTTGATGTGAATGACATCGGATAAAATGTGCTAAACTTTTATATTTACAACATTCAAGAATCAAATTCACACCATTCAATGGGATTCTGTTCCTCTTCAGGTTACTTTCAAACATTATTCCAATCATTCTGATTATGTTATCACAATTAGTTAAGTTTGATAATATACGTATTTCATTTTTTAAACATAATAATTTACTGCTATCGTTAATATTATTATTGTTAACAGTATTTTTTTCAACCATTGATGATACTTTCAACGCAACAATATAATTGTCAGTATCCTCTTTTAATAGTATATCCTTGAATTCATTATTCAATGTATCTTTAATATATGAACTGTGTAACCATGCTTTAAATACTGAACCATAATGTCCCGAACCAAGTGGATAATTAGATCGTTTGATAAATTTACGTGGTATAATCCATTTATTGATTTGATTCATAGAACTATTTGCAGTAGTAGTGGTTGATTTTGTGATATTAGTAGTATCTTTAATAGTAGTATTAATAGTGAAACCTAAAAGTTGACTTAACACTTGTTCAATAGACTTATAATCTTTACTCAAACTATATGAAGTTAGTAATGATGATGATGATGATTTATAATGATATGAATGAAGACGATTATAAATATTTTTATAAAGAACATTTGGAAGTGATATATCTGAAGAACATTGATTTTTATAACTTATTTTATAACATAACCATAGAATTATACTCAGTGTAATAAGAATTAAGATTATTGGTAATATAATTAAAAAAATCCATGAAATGAAATTTTTTATCATTATTTGTAAATTTATGGTTTCATTGGAACTAATCGAAGTAGTATCTAGATAAATCAGTTTGATTTGTTTAAATGCGTTGCCTGCAATATTTTTGGCTAAACACTGATAATGTGATTGATTTAAAGTATCCTTTGAAGTTAACAATAATGTTGATATGTTATATATACACGTTTGAATTTCTTGATCATCATTTATACTGATATTAGATTGTATTTTATTTTCATCTACTGAACATGTATGTACATTTTCCCATTTAGTAAATGATTCACTTTGATTATAAACTGCTTTCATCCATTGTATACTTGGTTTTGGCGAACCAATAGCTTGACATATTAATTCTATGCTATTTTTAGTCATGTTATCAGTATTAATACTGAAATTCAATACAGTATGTTGTTGTAAATTTGTTCTAATTAGTTGTACATTTTCAGTGGGTTTCAAAATCTTCGGTACATTTTGTTTAAATGTATGAATTTTGATTACAAATTGCTCACTTTTATATGAGCATTTAAAATGAACAACAGTTGGTTTGTTCAAATGGATTATTTTTCTGACCTTGAAAGAATAAGGAGATAATATCCAGAATGTGTTGTGAGTCAAATGATCTTCAGTACTATTTTGTATATTAATAATGGTCAATTTAGGCCATTCCTTTAGTTTGAGTTGTTCAGGTTTTGTGTGTATTTTGCGTATGCACTCTAAACTCATAAATGTACCTTGAACGAGAGAAATTTCTGAATTGTTAAGTTGTGAATTTATTTCATGAAATTGTGAAGAATTATTTAATTCAATAACGAAATACAACTGCCTTTTTTTCCTGTTATTTTGAATGTAACGATTGTTTTCAGTATTGTTGAATGTATCAATTACATTGAAATCATTAAATACTGCACAACTTTCTTGACCATTAAAGTACATTCCTATTTCGTAAACACTGCTACATCTTACACATAATTTCTCAGGCCAATAATTTAAATATAAATTACGTAGATGAGATATTTCATTAATACGTTCCCATAACTTTTCTGTTTTATTAAGTACTATCTTAGGATAATCGGTTGCATTGTAAAGTGGTATTAATTTAAACATATGTTCAAGCGTTTTATCGTATGTTGTATAGTTTTGAGTATGATTATCAATTGAAATAAACCAAGTCACATTATTTGGATAATTATATCCGAGTTTTCGAGCTATGCTCCTTTCAATATCATTTGGAACACAATGAAGATAATATTGTTGTGTAATTTGGCTATGAAGATTTTCAACATTTCTAGATAACTCCAGGACAGATTTGACAATAAATAATTGAAGTGTTCTTTTAGTCTCTCCATATCCAATAGACAAAGTAATTGTTTGACTTGTCAAATTAATTTTTATTTTCACAAGACATTTCCAAGTATCTCTAGAACGGATAAGACTTATTTGTGTTTCCTTTGTTTTCTGGTCAGATCGATGAATACCATGTTTAATAATACAGAACGGTTGATCGTCAGTTTCGTGTTCTGTCCAAAATGATATATTCATGTTAAGTGAATTGTTTTTTATAAGGAGACCCAAAGTAGAATTTTCACTAAACGAGGACTGATTGCCACCTAAGATTAGGCAATTACAATGAAAACTTATGTGTAATTTATTTGATATTTGATTGGTGGTCTTTACTATTTGAACTATTCTTTGACTTATTGGTGCCATTCTATCTGGTGTAGTTACTTCACAAAGTATAAATGTATTATTGACTGATTGATTGGTTTCATTTGAATTTTTCGATAGATCTAGATCATATTTTGAAAAAGCATAAAGAACTGAGAACTTATTAAATGTTTGATGTGTAGTCAAACATTCTGTTCTTTCCCATGTACTTTGGTCATCAGACTGGTAATGTTCTTGGAGATCAGATATGTTGGAGAGTTTTACATTATCCTAAAAATGTAATAAATTTTAAAGTGTAGTTACGTTTTCATTATAACTTATGTGAAAGCTAAAGACTGATTTATCAAACGAAACATACTTGGAAATTGGTCATTTTTTGTCATTTACAGAAGAGTTAAACGATTTTAGTACAGAAGGGGGTTTTGTGGAGATCTTAGTGATTTCAATTGTTGAGATCATGGATTAGTATATTAGTTGAAGTTAAACATTAACACCGTTGGATAACGGCTCATTGGTATAGTGGTTAAGTGCTAGCGCGCGAGATCAGTATGTCCTGGGTTCAAATCCCATGAGGTGGGGTCGGGGATGCGCGTCGCTGATGAGTCCCACGATTGGATGAAACGGCCATCCGGTGTTTACAGATTTTCCATGGTTGTCTAGCTTCAATTGACTCATGATCTCAACAATAGATATTTTAGTACAATTTAGAGCGAAAATAAACTATAAATCTATAACTTGGTTTTGTCATAGAATCACTCAAATTTTGTTGAAATTTTTTTACTTGATGATGAAAACCTTAACCGGTAAAACCATCATGTAAATTACATTTATTGATTACAAGTGAAGATTTTCTGTAGGATATTTTGCTTCTCGAATCTCATCAATTCTAATGTAAATATTTGGTATTTTCGAACTACTTATACTACTACTTATACTTTTTTTAAAAATATACTTATGTGTTGGAATTGATAACACTATTATATATTCGTGGATTGGTTGAAGTTAGACAATAACACCATCGTATGCCGGCTCAGTCGTCTAATGGTTAAGCGCTCGCTCACGGGACTGATAAGTCCTGGGTTCAAATCTCGCCAGGCGGGATCGTGGATGCACACTTCTGAGTCCCATGCTAGGTCGGAAAAGGCTGTTCAGTACTTCCAGGTTTTCCATAATGGTCTAACTTTAGTTGATCCATGAACTGAACTATTAAAACAATATTCTATTTAAGAAATCTACTTACTTGGTTTAAGGTTTTCCATCTAAAACATAATTTGCCTATCGGTTTATGAACAATATATTTTTGTGTATAACTACCAATACACGTTAAACGTAATACTGTGGTTAGTTGCATTACACGAAATGTTAAAAGTTCATTAGAATATTTAACAAACCAATTAATATTGTTTAGAAAAAATTCAGAATGATTTCTTATATTGACTAATTTGTATGTGTTGTGTTCCATTTTATTGATTGATTGTAAATACAAATGGACTGTAGGTGCAATAACTGGTGATGGCATAGGCCATATTGGCTGAACAATACGTTGTTGACTAATTTGATTATAATTACATAACATAAATAACATTATACGTGGAAATTGTGATTTTAAAAGACATACACCAAACCGATTGTCATAATAATAATGAATTGAATGAAACTGATTGCTTTCTGATCGTTTAAATGGATACCATATTTGACGACTTGATTTATGAGGTGTTAATTGATAATCAATCCAAAATTCTGAAGACTCTTCTTTAAATGTACTGTTTAATCCAGGACATGGTATAAGCATAGGTTGATCGCGTATAACATCCAAATGAACAGTATTCATATTAACTGAATTTGTATAGAGAAAAACGCTACCACAATGTGTTGTAATATTTCTTAATTTTATTATAACATTTGAACTATTTATTAATTTACTTTGTTTAAATAAACATTGATCTTGTTCATACCATGGACAACATGGGCAACAAGATGGTTCATTTGGAAACCAGTTTATTATACCCATATTATAATGATTTAATGATTGACAACATTGATATAATCCACGAAAATGAGTACGTAATATATTATTCTCTGGTAATTTAATTAAAAGTTTACTTTGATTCTCTATTTGATTAATTATAATTATTGGTTTAAATTTATATGGTATAGTTGATGGAATAAACCATTCAGTACCATATAAGCAAGATAATTCTATTTCTTTAATATTTAATGGAATATCATATTTATGATCATGTTCATTTTGTTTTATTTCATAGAATAATACATTTTTCAATGTTTCAGTAATTGATTTATTAAATAAAAATAAAATTAATAAAAATTTAATTAACATATCCAAAAGTATATTGTTCAATTTGTTATTATCATTGTTAAATCATACACTGATAATTTAATTAAATATATATATATATATAAATATATATATATATATATATATATATATATATATATATATATATATATATATATATATATATAGCAAATACAGAATCTAGTATTCATATCATATTATTGTTCATAATACCTGACCAATAAAGTGACATTATTGAATTTTAAATAATTGTCAAGGTTACCGATAATATTCACGTAAATATATATATTCAATTATATTGAAATGGATATACTTGAAATAATAATAAAACGAGTGATGATTTTAAGTTGTATAAGTTTGTTTATGAAATGTAAATAAGAGATTTTGTGTATTATTAATGACTTTTATTAACCTTATTATAATTATTTGAATTGTATACATATATGTATACATATGTAACAATATTATTTTGTAGACAAATGTTTATATTAAGAATCATATGAACTAATAGTCATTTTATAAAGTGTAATTTATAAATGAGTCAAAAAAATACATTGATTATTTTTAAAGGTAACTATATTAATCATAATAATTAAAGATGGATAGTGGCTAGCAGTTGAATTCAGGACACTCGTTTCACCTTATTTTGGGACTTTTCAGCTGAATGTACCTGCGTTTCAGAGTTGATGTTCACTCTAGGACCACAACCCTTTACTGTTCGCTTGAAACTCCATGGCGTTATTCACTTAGCCACTATTCATCTTTGATTATAATGCTTGTAAATTAAAGTAATATCAAAGCAATACGAACAGTATGCACATATATCAATAAGAGACTGATCAATTGCAGTCCTAAACATCAATGGAAAGATTCAAGTAAAGACAATACCAAGTGAATTGTTTTAATCATAGTTCTATAATATGAACTCTGATTAGTTGAACTAGGAAAAACAACTAAATAGAATGGTTTTTCTCAACTTCGAGTAGTTATGATTTGAATGACCTTTTTTTTTAAAGTTTTACTGTATTTATTCTATCATTATATGTTATCTATAGCAATATGGTACTATGGAGACAGATTTATTTTGTAACTAGATTTCGCTGCTATTTTCATTTATTTTATTAATTCACACAATGTGTACATTTACTATGAATTACTGTATAATAGTTATATTAAAAACGTATGACCTTGAACTTTCCGTTTTCATTTTGAATTTCCCCCATAGCATGACACAGTGATTACCGCTCACAAATACACTGCTACACACATATACCTCTTGATTTCAATTACCTGTTGTTGTGATAACAGAACTCTAGTGTATTTACTATTTACGTTTACAAACCCCAGTGATATTCTCATTATATGCTTCATCTGGATATACATCTCGAACTATAACTATTGTTATCGTAATTAGTAACTACTTATCATTGTGGATTACTAGACTAAAAGAAACTCGAACACGCCAATTCCTGACAAGTTAAGTAACGTTCAGTATATTTTTCTTGTATGTATAGATTATATTAATACATTAATTTTTAGACGTAATAACTTTATCATTCATTATTTTTGGAATTTATATATTCTTCGTCCGCCACAGTACTTGTAAAGTTAAGTGGTCAGTTATTCACTGTTGTGTGTAATAAATTAGTAGATATACGGAATACCACTAAATTAAAAATTACTGTTAACTAATTATCTTCCAGAGAATTCATCTGAAGATAAACAAAAAAAGAAGATAAGGTTCGCTGGGAGGAAAGTTATGTTTGCGTGTAGAAGTAGAGGGAATTTCCAAAGTGACTACCTACAGTAGAAAAAGTTTCATATCAGATCGTACTGTGATTGGTCACTGAAGTTTGACCAAAAGTGTTCACCTAGTTCACCGCAGAAAAACTAACATGGTCAGCATCAATGTTGAATTCTCTTAAAAGCATTTGTTTTAGGGTTATTTACTACCACGATTTAGTATTTGTTATGTTAATTTTACGATCTTTTAAAGCATGTAATAAATCTGTAGATATTGGCAAATAATGTTGTCTTCTACTAACGTCGTATGCTTTGCATATTTTAAGATTGCAAATATGGCGTAATGTAAAAATTTAGTTGCAGTGGTAAATAAAACCCCAAAATGAATAGGTTTGTACGTCTTTCTCGAATCTTCAGTTTTCATCTTTCCCCCGTTTTTCATTTTGAATTTCGACGTTAAAAGCCAGGACAGTGAATGTGTCAAGTAAACGTTTTGCTATTATTATTATTAGTAGTAGTATACAGAGCAATATTTCAGTAGATATACGTTGTGCAAATAAGACAGAACTGTTTCTGTCTTGAAATTTCGGTTTTATCGCCATCTGGCTTGAAGTTGCGAACTTCCATCATGCTAGAACCGAAAGTTTGGATATAACAGCGAGCGATTTCTCTATTACCTACCTTCCTCTGTATTTATGTTTCCTTCCAATTTATTCAAGATTGACTAAGTATCCACAAAACGTCAAGGTATGGGGTACTGGAACCTTTGTGTCAATATAGTGGTGATAAATGATTCCATAAACTTAATAGTCACAAATCTATCCATACGTTCTAAGAGCATTCACACTACTGGTCCCGCGCTAGGTAAGCTGTGTTCAATGTGATGACTACTGTGAAAGCCCTGGTAGTTACGTTGTAGTGTCAGTTACTATGTTAAGCCCATATAACTTATTCTAGCTTCTGGACAGGCCAATTTATTCATTCTTCTTGAGTCATGTTTTAACCTTGTTAATGCTCACTTATCAACCCTGTTTTCATTTGAGCGTATGTGTGTGTGTACATCTTATCTTGCTCATAACATGTCTGTAGCTTATTTTGTGTGACTATTAATATTGATCAACGTTTAACTAAATGGATTTAACCTGCATGACTTCTCTATTGCGCATCATTTTGCTCCACTTTCTTCTCTTCTCTTCGTCCCTCTAATTGCTTGCCCAAATCAATGAGTGTACAAAATATACTAGCTAGCAGTAAGCTGGTATTTTGTTGAAACTTTAATGTTTTCTGTGTTTACTATTTTTCAGGTGCAATATATTCACAAGTGCCCTGCACCTTCAATAGACAAATCACTCCACCTTTAGAAGCATTACTAAACTTGAAACAACCCATCGTCGAAACAATAATTATATTCCAAATATTCAGTAAAACAGCAAAATGCATGTAGAGACAGTACAACAATAATTGTTAGTATTATTGTATATTTCTCACAGAGCAGGTACGCGTCATTTGTACATGCACGACACTGTTTGACTTTCTACTTTAAACCAATGGCAGTATAAACATAGGCACCTATTGATAATACAACTATCGTACTATCACTGTAGAGTCATTACTCATGCGACAAACTTAACGTTTCTCATCTGAGGAACTCAATCACTCGTCAAAGTTATCTATTTCAACGCGACTTGATAAACTTTTAAAACGTTTTTTTATTATTTCTATGGTTAACCGCTTTACATTCAACCAACGTCCAAATAACATATTATTACTCGTTGTTTCTAGATCACTTTCTGCCGCCTCCTTTCCGTCTGTCTTACAGCTCGGTAAAGACTGGAGGAATCATATTAATCGTTTGACGACCTCCGGCGCGCGACTACTCCCAACATGTTTGGTATCGATTCAATCGGCTGTTCAATCTGATGGGGGGTATTGTAGGGCTGGTGAAATGTCACTAAGCCTTGGCCAAAGCATCCAGAAGTTGGGTAACTGAACATCGAACAAATCATCGATCCATGTCAAAGTCGAGGATAACTAACGCTCATCAGTTAATGGTACACTATGGACTAGCCCATGCGGTAATGTTTAAACTTTCGCTTGTACCTGCTTTAACCAATATGTCACTGTAATAACGTCCTTTGTGTTGTACGGTCTTCAAAGCATCCATAGTACCTTAATGGGACGAAGGGGTAATCCACGTTAGGTGCTGACCGTGAGGTGTAACTGCGACGTTAGCTGTCGGTCCCACCATTCGCGTCTAACTCGAGTAGGCCCCCAATTATTCGACAAGGGTCATCAACGTTGATGATCTATACAAGTAATTCATTAGGCTGCCTCAAATCCACACAAATCATCCACTATGTGTTATGCGCGAGATCACTAAATATTATACATTTTATCAAGCCTCATCAAGGTCACGGGCGATTTGCTCAGGTGCCTTGCGCATCATGTACAGGCCCATAATCCAGTGGTCCCATTGCTAACATCCCTAACCTCTTCTTGATTCATGGTGTTGTTCTAGTGACATCTCATTTGGTTTCCATAGTCATCAACAAAGCTGATTCACTCAGCAATCAAAACAAAAACATTAGGTCAACTGTCAACTTCAAGATATGATTTCGAATGAAACTGAGTGAAAATGGAGTTGAATTTTTCGTGTGTAACTTAAATAAAGCTACTGTCCATATAGGTCAATTACATGTCTAACTAGGTTTTAATATAATCACCAGGCTGACATTCTATAATGTTCATTGATATAAAGGACGTTTTCAATACCTCCTGATTATATCAATTAGAGCCTATCAATCAGCGATCAAGATGATCCATGAAGAAATCAAGGCCTCTCTACGAATCTGTTTGCCTATTGAAGGTGTAGTGACCTACTTTTATCAACAAAACCCGATTGGTTTAATGGAAACAATTACTATTATAACCAATTGTACGAGTGATTGTTTTACTGTACTTGTTTGTTTAACTGTACCAAAGGCATTCTTCCTCCCGTTGATTGTGACCTTGTATACGCTTACGTTTGCTCATTGAATCCGCTTGTACTCCTTGGCATGATCTTGGTATTCTTTCGATACCACGAGATCGCCAACAAGCACATCTCGACTACAGCCATCATCTACCTTCTGATATTGGCCTACGGAGATCCTACTGGCTAACTGGCACGTAGTCTTCTTGTAGTGGTGTTTATAGTCAACCATGACTCGACGCCACACTACAAAGGATATCATACTGAAATGAGATGATTGTTCAATGCTCACATTTTCAAAGGTGTC